AGTGGGTATTATCTGTAAATGTGGGTGTTCTTGTGTACCAGCCTTTTCTTTTGAACTTTTCTTATTTTCTTTTTGTTGCCCAGATGTTTGAGACGGAGGTGGACAAGAAGAGGGAGATGCCCTTGGAGGAAAAGAAGGGGCCAGGTGCTGAAGATCCCTCATCTAGCAAGGACCCTTCTCCTAGCCAGGAGCCTCCTCCAGAACAAGACCTCCCACCCAACAAGGACTCCTCAGCTGGCCAGGAACTCTCTCCTGGCCACGAATCACTTTCCAACAAAGACTCACCTCCTTGCAAGGAACCCCCTTCAGGTCAAGAACCCCTGCCAAGCAAGGACTCTCCACCATACCAGGATCCCTCTTCAGTCCAAGAACCCTCACTCTGTCAGGAAGCCCCTCCCAGCCAGGAACCTCTGCTCAGCGAAGCCCTCCCTGCCATCCCAGAACCCCCTACTCAGGACCTTCTACAATGTCAAGACCTGCCTCCCAGCCAGGTCTCTCTGCCTGCTGAGGCTCTTACTGAGGAGACCACAGGCTCTGGAGAACCACCAGCAGTCACCGGCAACCCACCTGTGGCCTCCAGGCCAGCCTTCGTGATCCCTGAGGTCCGGCTGGACAGTGCTTACAGCCAGAAGGCAGGGGCAGAGGGTGGCAGCTCCGGAGAGGAGGAGGAAGGGGCTGAGGAGACTGAGGAAGGGGATGAAGGAGACGAGGGGGAGGAAGCTGAGGACGAAGACACGAGTGATGACAACTACGGAGAACACACGGAGGCCAAGCGCAGCAGCATGATCGAGACGGGCCAGGGTGCCGAGGGAGGACTCTCGCTGCGTGTGCAGAACTCGCTGCGGCGCCGGACACACAGCGAGGGCAGTCTGCTGCAGGAGGCCCGTGGGCCCTGCTTTGCCTCCGACACCACCTTGCACTGCTCTGATGGCGAGGGTGCCACACCTAGCTGGGCCATGCCTTCACCCCGCACCCTCAAGAAGGAACTGGGCCGCAATGGTGGCTCCATGCACCACCTCTCCCTCTTTTTCACGGGGCACAGGAAGGTAAGGAGACTAGGAATGCCAGGAGGGGAGGGGTAGGTGGGGCTGATCCAGGGACTTCAAGGAACCAGAGGTCCCTGCCTGCCCCTGCTCTTCTCTAGGCCTCCTGATGAACCTTCTCCCCACTCGACAGAGGATAAAATAGGGTTGTTGTTGTTGTTGTTAGGTGCCATTGAGTTGGTTCCGACCCATAGTGACCTTGGATAGGGTTTCTGAGGAGTGGCTGGTGAGCTTGACCTTGTGGTTCAAAGTGCCTTTGCAGTACAGCACATTAACCCAGTGCCACACCAGGACTCCAAAGCAGGATTGGAGGGAGCAAAAAGACAGAGCCTAGACTTAAACCCATGCCTTTATGACTCCAGATGTTGTGTTCTTTCAGCTCCATCGATGATCCCCACAGGAAGTAGTAGAACAAGTGGGCTAGCCAGGACTTGGGCCATTTGAATCTAAAAGGTCTGAAACTACAGTGGGAAAAATATAAAATTTAGACCTAGTCTAAGCCCATGTGATCAGCCACAGCTCTGATGACAGCACATGCTTTCCTCTGTGCTGGCACTGTTCTAAGCCATTTACATTCATTTATTCATTCTCACAACAGCCCTATGCATAGATACTGTTGGTTTCGCCATTGTGCAAATGAGGAAACTGCAGCACAGAGAGATGATCTAACTCTCTACAAGTTACACAGTTTATAAAGGACTGAATCTGAATTAGTGTCTGGCTCCAGAGCTGGAGATCTTGATGGACATGCTATTTGCCCCCTTGCAAATACTGGGCAGTGTTTTCGTTCTGTTGTGCATAGGGTTGCTATGAGTTGGAACCAACTCGATGGCACGTAACAACAGCAACAAATATTTATAAATAGATGAGTAAATGGGTTTTTTTTTTGATGTTCTGCTGTGTGCCAGGCTCTGTGCTCTGTACCAAGCAGGGGCTGTAGTAGTGTATCAGGAATGAGTCACCCAAGTGGGCTGGGAAGGCAGCCTAATGGTGAAAAGAGTGCACGGTGGCCTGGAAGCCCACCAGCCCACTTGAATCCAGGTTCTGTTCCTACTGTATGACCTTGCACAAGTCACTCAGCTCCTCTGAGTCTTAGTTTCCTTCTCTGAAAAGTAGGGGTTATTAGCATTAACATCTCAGAGGGGTGGAGGATGAACCGGGACCATTTCCTGAGAGAATGCAGGCCCCCATTTCTTCTCTTGAAGAGCTAGCAGCCAGAACAATGTGCTACACGGAGAACTGTTCTGAAGGTAGGTGGGTGGACTACAGCTGACCCTTGGAGATCTTAGAACTCAGGGAGGAGTGTTCTCTGGGGTTTTGGGTCTGCAGGGGAGCTGTCTGGAGAGAGTCTCTATGCGTGACCTTGAAGACTGAACAAGTTTAGGATAACAAGAGGATGAGGTAGACATTCTGTGTAAGGGGAGATGACCAGAACAAAGCTATCTGTGGAAGCCAGCCTAGTTAGAGCAGGGGATTCCTGAAGGGCAGGGATGGCAGACACAGGGCATGCATGCTGCCACTGCTGCTCCAAACCCGCGACAGACATCACTAATGGATTTCAGGACTCTTCCCCGCTGGACTGAAGCATGGCCTCAGAGGCATTAGTTCTCAGCCACTCTCAGTAAGTCATACTTGGCATTTGAGAAGAAACCTCTTGGTCAGGTTCGAAGGGCAGGCTGGGCCCCTGCAGAAAAGGACCTTGAACTTCAGACCCAGAAATTGAAACTACACCCTGAAAGCCAGTGGTTCTCGGGCCCCAACTCCAGACCCCTAGATTCAGAATTTCCCAGGGGTGGTGCCCAGACCCTGCATTTTAAGCAAGCTCTCCAGGGTTTCTGATGCTCCCTTAAGTTGGGCTATCACTACCTTCGGCTGTTTCTTGATGCAGTGGTTACAGGAAGTGGGCCCAGAACTCTGTCCTTCCAGGGTGGAAATTTAGGATCTCTATGGCTGGGCCTGGCCACTCCTCTCTGGAGGATGGCTGAACCCCAACATCCTATTCCGTGCCTGATTCTGATTCTCCTCACCACACCCTTCCAAGTTTTGTCCTCCCCTTGCCTCAATACAAAGGAGCCCTGGTGGCATGGTGGGTTAGGCATTGGACTGCTAACTACAAGATTGGCAGTTCAAACCCACCAGCTGCTCCTCAGGAAAAAGATGCGGCTGCCGGCTCCTGTATGGAGATTGCTATGCATTGGAACCGACTCTGTGAGAGTGGGTTAATGTATTAATCCAAATATTTGTACACAGACAAAGCACACACCCTCCTGTGTACATGTCTTCTTCCCGAACTCAGTTGACCTCAGCTGTTATTTTGGGACAGACACTTTTACCTGGGAGTTCGGCAGACCTGGACCAGCTCACCCTTGTTTCAACCCAAGGTCCCTCCCCTACCCGCTTTTGGTGTGTTCCTTCCCTTCCTGGCCTGAAGGGACGAAATTATAGGACCTCAGAGACCTCCAGCCCTGCTCCTTCTAGCCAGCTAGCTCCAGTAAAAAGTCCTCCTTTGTGAAGGGGGCAAGTAAAACCTGAACTGGACAAATGCCTGGTCTACCTACTCCATCACTGCTGGTGAGCCTTGGGCAAGCTCCTGTCCTTCTCTGAGCCTCAGTTCCCTCATTGTTGAAATGGGTATTGGTAACAATACCTTCTTCACAGGGTTGCTGGGAAGATGAAACTAGCTTGGTTCAGCTCATATTTTTAGGGTATTGCCTGGTACTCAGCATTTGGTCGGTGCCCCGTAGATGGTAATCATATTGAGGAGGAAGGGAGTAGTTAACAGTAACCCCAGTATTTACCATGTACCTCCAGATCCCTTCACACCATTGCTGCAAGGAAAGCCTTCTTCTTGTCCCACAAATGGGGAGGCTGATACGTAGCAGTGAGGGCTCCTGGCCCCACCATGAGTCAGGGCGGAGCTGGCCTCTCTGGACTCTACTTCAGACCTTGTGCAACTCATGAGGGTGAGGAGCAGAGGCAGAGAGGGGTGCTGGCAGAGGGGAGAGGCAGTACTTACCCGTGATTCTATCTTCCTGTCTGGGCCTGGCTTTCTTGAAAGGTCAGCTTATGCTGACAGGCCACTGTCCCCAGGAGAAGAGGAGATGGAGAGGAGTCAGACAGACCCTGGTTCATTCTCAGCTCTGTCTTTCTCTGGCTTTGAAATCTCAGCCGTATTGTTTGCTTTTTTCTGAGCCTTAGTTTTCTCTTAAAAATTGGTGTGGCACTGTAGGATAGCACTGGACTACTAGCATCAAGGTCGGTGGTTCAACCCAACAGGTGCTCCTCAGAAATCCTATCCAAGGACGTTATGGGTCAGAACCAATGTGACAGCATTTAACAAATCTTTATGTAGGGGTTGCCCAGTGAAACTAGCTCCTATGGTCTGTCTGGCTCCTGTGCTGACCACAGTGGTTCCATGGTGCCCCTTGCTGCCAGGTTCCCTGGCTCTCTGGAAGCTTCCAAGACATCCTGGAAACAAATCCTGCATCTGGGCCCAGGATGCTGCCAGGACATCTGACCCCAGCCTGGTCTCATGGGGCCCCAGCCTGTTTGTGCTTCCTTCTTCTCCTCCCCTTGCTGAGGGCTGGGTTGGGCAGGGGCGGTCAGCTAAAGGTGCCAGTCCTGTTACCCTGAGCTGTCCACCTAGGCTAGAAGGCAGACAAGACGACCACTAAGAGGCTTTCCAAGTCCAAGATATGCTAGACAACACACACAAGAAGCTTAAAGACTTGTTCCTGTGTCTCAGCAAATACCCCTAGAATTTAGACCCAGTGTTTCCATGTGGCTCCCTGGGGTGTCCAGGCTGAGCTTGGCCAGAGAGGTCAGGGGCAGAGAAGAGAAGAGAAAGGAAAGCCAAGTGAAGTCCTGCTTCATTCATGGGTGTGCTCTAGGGGTACAGGCTCTGGAGCTAGGACTGAAATATTCTGCTACTTGCCAGCTCTGAAAACCCAGGCATGTTAACAGCCAGCTCTGGGCCTCAGTTTCCTCAGCTGCACATAGGGTTAATAACAGCAAATAGCTCTTAGAATCGTTGTGAAGTTTAAATTAGATAATGTATGTAAAAGCACTTCTAGCACCATGCCTGGCACATAGTGCGTGTTCAATAGATACTAGTAATACTCTATTAGATAAGCACTAGACTGCGAACCACAAGGTCAGCAGTTTGAGCCTACCAGCTGCTGCTCCTTGGCAGAAAGATGAGACTTTCTTCTCCCACAAAAGATTTTTTGAGTTGGAATCGACTTGACACTTAACAACACCATTACTATTATTGTTAACTGCCGTGGAGTTGGTTCTGACCCATAGTGACCCTGTATAGGCTTTCCAAGGAGCGGCTAGTGAGCTTGAACTGCCGACCTTGTGGTTCAAACCAACTTTGCAGTCTAGCGCATTAACCCGCAGCACCACCCAAGACTCCACATTACTTACTACCAGATAGCATTAATGACTAGTTGAGCATGTCTACATGCCAGACGCCATGCTAATCATGCCAGGTGTGTAACTTAGCCTTCACAATAGACCTGTTAAATGTTATCTTCATTTTACAAATTAAGAAACTTTGACAAAGGGAAAGACATTCTGGTGGCATAATGGTTACGCACTAGGCTGCTAACTGGCAGGTCGGCTGTGTGAACCCACCAGCTGCTCCTCAGAATGAAGACCTGGTGGTGATCCATTCCCATAAGGACTACCGCCTAGCCTAGGCAATTCTGTGTGGCAGTTCTCCTCTGTCTGGTAGAATAATATGGGGCCGGTAGGTAGGAATCGACTCAGTGGCAAACAACAGCCAGAGAGTGGGAGTAACTTGGCTAAAGTCAATTAGCTAATAAATGACTGAACTATGGTTCAAATCTGGGAAGTTTAGAATCCACACTCTTAACTATTACTACCATTATAATCACAATTATAATTACTGTTCCAAGAGACAGTGAGTTCACAATCCCTGAAGGTAGCCAGGAAGGGCTGGGGCAGTCACCAGTGACTCCCACCTGTGGTCACTTGGAGAGACAGTGGTGAGCAGGAGGGTACAAAGGTCCTTCTGTGTGTTGAGCCCCCAGGCGGGCTTTCCTACACATTCGGGTGGGAGACATCTGGGAACATTCTGGCCCCATCTAACGATGGAGGTTGGAGTCTCCTTGGGGAGTTGGAGAGTCCCTGGTGCTGGGAATCTGCCTCAGTTGTTTCTCTTCTTGGTCCTTGGGACTCTCCTGGGTGCCTGGGTTTCCTCAGCTGCCCCTGGGGCCGACTCTCAGGGTTGGAGCTGCCTGGACTCCTCTGTGGGGCTGGCTTGGCCTGGACCTGTCCCTGCTGAAGATGATCCCCTCCCAGTGGAAGGAAGAGCCCATTTCCCAGCAATGCAGAGACTAGGGGTGGTGGGCGGAACGGGAAGGGTCCTCAGGCCCATTGTGTGGAGTCGATAAAGTACGGAAGCTGAGGTTAGAATGGGAGGAAGCCCAGCGCCTGTGGGCCTGTTCCCACGGGTGGGGGCTACGGGCCCTGCCCAGTGTGGTTGCAGCCTGGCAGCCTGTGTGTGCAATAAGGTGACAGCAATAACGCTCACCAGGCAGTCCCTGGTTACTGAGGGTGCCCTGTGTGCCAGCACTGTGTGCCACAGAGGCCCATACTTTATTCTGGTGAGTCTTCCAGCAGCCCTGTGGGGTGGCCATCCCCACGCTGTGGTATAGCTAAAAAACAGACTGAGAGGCTAGGAAGCGTATCCAAAGTCTGTGGAGGCAGGCAGTTTCCAGGCTTGGCTCCAAACCTGAGCTCTGGAATCACACACTGTATAAGGGTGTGTGCCTATGTGTGCACGTATGCACACGTGTGTTTACAACTCTGCGGGAGTGGCATTTCCCCTGAGACCATCACTGAAGACATTAAACTGTGCCTTGTCCTTAGTCTGAGTAGCAGCATTCTCTCTTGGAGGAACATGGGCCTTGAATCAGACCGACCAGCCAAGTGACTGCTGGACTTTTCTGAGCCGCCATTTATTTATGGATTCACTATGAGGCTTGTTGAATTAGTATCTGGATAATAATGAGCTCTGGTGGAGCAACAGTTAAAAGCAGGCTGCTTACTGAAAAGTTGGCAGTTCAAACCTACCCAGCTACTCCACAGGAGAACGACCTCGTGGCTTACTCCGAGAAAGAGTACAGCCCAGAAAACTCCTCGGTGCAGTTATACTGTTGTATGGAGTTGCCAGGAGTCAAAAAATGAACATGATGGCACCCAACAACATCTAGTTAATGCCAGTTCCATTCTGGTCCATAATAGGAACTCCCTAAGTGAAGTTATAATTCACCCATTTATCCATGCATCCATCCAAAGATTCTCTGGTAGTGAATTGTAGGATGCTCTGATGAGTCAAGTTATCACTCCTGCTGGCTGTATCTGGAATCATTCTTTCTGGAATTAAGAAAACAGCATTTTAAGGCTTAGCCCATCTTCTATAGTTCACAGAAGAGGAAATTGAGGTAGATCCCATGAAGAGTCATAACTGGGATTCACACCTGATGGTCTGCTGCCCTGCCTTCGGACCTAGTGTCCACTTCCAGCTCACTTCAGGCTCTAGGGAAGGGGCCCTACACAGGCACCGTCGAGGAGATGGCTGCGGGGTGGGGTGGAATCTCTGAGTTGCAATGGAGTGGTGGCAGGTGAAATTGCTCAACACTGCTTCTTAGTCTGGTAGTGGTATAGCAGTGAGGCTCTCAGACTTGTTGTCTTCGGGTGAGTTCTCCCTAACACTGCACACACCACTGCCACTGAGTTGATTCTGCCTCATAGTGAGTCTATAGGACCGAGTAGAACTGCTCCATAGGGTTTCGGAGATTATAAAACCTTATGGAAGCAGATTGCCAAACCCTCAAGGGAACACCCTTTTTAACAGATTGGCTGTTCACATCAGCTCACAAAATGGAGGGTGATTACAAGATATGTGCCCAAGCACTGAAAATGATGGCCTAGCCCAACTGACTTACAGCTTTAACTATCACACTGATATTATGGAGTCTGTTTCCCCACTCCTGATACCATCATTTATTGGGTAAATACTTGTTACCTCCTAATATGTGCTCAGAGAGGTTCAGATACTCAGCACAGCTCCGACTAGAGCCCTGTTCCGAGCCTACTGTACAGCCTAGGGCAATAGCTTCCCCCCAGGCACTAGTTACTTATAGGGCTTCTCCCCAGCAAGCCAGGCTCCCAGGTGCAGCAAGAGAGACCCAGTTGGGGGGGGGGGGGAAATCCCTGCTCCCACCTGTTATACTAAGGGAACAGAGGAGGGCTGGCTGCGGGAGCTATTGAACCCCTGAGTCACTTCTTGCTTGGGCAGCAGACCCTAGATACCTAGATTGCAACGTGTCTGTCTTCTCTCTGCAGATGAGTGGGTCCGACACAGTTGGCGACGATGATGAAGGCTCCAGGAAGAGAAAGAGCAAAAACCTGTACGTTGAAAAAAAACATGGCCCCGACTTTTGTGACCAGCGGCTCCCCTGTGCCCTGCTTTCTCCTCTGCCCTCAGTCTTGTCTCTTTTCCAGGGGTACAGGCTTAGCAGTGGCACCAGGGTCTGGAATGTCTAGCTCTGTCCTTAGTATTCACACAGAGGGGGGCACATGAACCAAAAAGAGGCCTCAGCCAGGTAGCCCTTTCCCTGGTCCAGCCTCTGAGGCGCGCAGTGACTGAGTGACCTCCACAAGTCCTTTGCTCCCTCTTGAGGGGCTGAACCGACAGCTTAAGGCATTCTCCTCCAGTCTTGAGGTCTGAATGCTAACAGTCCCAGGCACTGCCAGGAGGGGGCGCTGCTGACCCAGATAGCGGACACCAAGCTCCCAGAGCCTTTCTGGCTACCCTTGCCAACTAACTGGTGTGTGAGGCGGTTCTCTGTTCTTGTACCCTCAGACTTGAAACAAGTACAGGGGAGGGGACAGCAGCCTCCTCCCCTTTAGGTCCTGCAGTACCCACCATTATGTACACTTTGGGCCTGGGGGAGGAGGACAGAGCTCCTTCCCAGAGGCCTCCGGCGGCCTTTCTTAGCCTTGACCTTGGCCAGGGTCCACTACCCTAGAATCTCTTTCTCACCCCAATTCCTCTGCCCTTTCCAGTTTTCTACAGCTATTAGAGGCTTCTCCCACTCTCTAGCCAGGAACAATTTGCACTTTCTAGGGAAGGCAAAGCATAAATAAAAATAGTCCTTTGCACCAACTGTCCTCATTTAACTGCTTTTAGAATGGAGGAGGCTCCACACAAGGCCAGAGCTGCTGGGGTGGAAGAAGGTTCCCAGGAGTGGAGCTGGGCATGGCAGTAGAGGGCAGGCATCCAAGGGGGCTGAGGGCCAGCCACACTCAGGATGGGTCCATCAACTCTCGCCTTTTGGAATGCTTCAAGGACTCATAGAATCTATGGTCACGATAAAAAATAATTACTAACATTTATTGTGGCAGGCACTGTTCTGTGTGCAGGACATGTGTTATCCAACTTCATCTTTTTCACAAATGTGGCGCTGCAGGTTAAGGCACTGGACTGCAAGGTTGGTGGTTCAAATTCACCAGTCGCTCCTTTGAAATCCTATACTGGGTTGCTATGGTTGGGACCGACTTGATGGCAGTTAGGCATTTTTATTATCCATTTTTACAAGTGAGTAAACGAAATCACTTGTCCAAGGGTTACACAGCAAGTAAACAGTGGAGATGGGATCCAAAGCTTGGCATGCCGGCTCCAGGGCCTGATGTCTTAAACTGGGTGTAGAGTCTGTCTGAGACAGGTCCCTTTTCACAGCACCACTACTACCAAGCAACCTTGAGCCCCTAGTGGCAAAGTCTACTCCCCCAGAGACCACTCATACCAGCTCTTCATGGCTCCTTGTAGGCACAGATGGGGACACATGGGACCCCTCTGCCCCAGCCATCTTTCTAAGGTTTGTTCATGGGAATCAGGGACTTCCGAGGTCTTCTCAGCATTGCCCTGCACATGTGTGTTCAAGAGAAAAGGTGAGGCTGGGCAGGAGCCTCAGTTTCCTCCAGCCACAGAGAAACACAGAGCCCAGGGGAATGGAGCAGCCTGTAGGTTGGAGTGCGAATCCCTTGGACCCCAGGAAAGCTATGTCCTCCCTAGGGGACCTGGGGCATGGCGCTCCACACTGTGCTGGGTAGCAACTTCTGCTCCCAGTCACCCCAGGGCTATATCTGAGGATTCTTTGGTCTTATCTGATTGGCTTGGAAGTTGCTTGAGCAGGGTCCCCATCCCTGTACAACTGCCCGAGATCCTCAGGGCATTTCTGACCTTCTGTCCAGCCAAGTGTTAAGCAATTTTGTGGCAGGTGCTGTGCATTTTCCTTATGGATTCTTCCAACAACTCTAGATAGGTACTGACATCATCCCTGTTTTACAAAGGAGCAAACTTGACATTCCGAGCAGTTAGGTAACTTAGTAGGAGCTCTGGTAGCATAAGTGGTTAGGAGTCTAACCTCTACATAATGTAGCAAAGTGGTTAGGAGTCTAACCTCTAAGTCAGCAGTTTGAAACTACTAGAAGTTCTGTGGGAGACATATGAGGCTTTCTGTTTCCATATAGGTTTGTTGTTGTTGTTGTTATGTGCCGTGGAGTCGGTTCCGACTCATAGCGACCCTGCACAGGGTTTCCGAGGGTGTTAATCTATACGGGAGCAGAACGCCTCATCTTTCTCCCGCGGAGCAGCCGGTAGTTTCGAACTGCTGACCTTGCGGTTTGCAGCCCGATTCCTTGGAAACCCTATACAGGGTCGCTGAGTCAGAACCGATTTCACGACGCCACTGGCATACCGCCACTAAGTAATGTGGCAAGGGTCACATGACTGGCAACTGTTGGGTCAGGGATTTGAACCCACTGTTCTTGGCCTCGACACTGTCCCACTTCCTTTCACAGCGTGTCCCAAAAGTCTTAGTGCCACTTTCAGCCTTAACAACCTCAGAAGCATGAATGCTACAAACTTATAAATACATTAGAAAGTTTAATTATTTTAAATTTGTTTTAACTTACTTATTTCTGTGATTTTGATCAAACATTTTTAAGTTAATTTTTTTTTTTTTTTTGCTTTCAAGTCAGCATTTTCCATGTTCAATCAGAAGGATGGAAACCAAAAATTAAAATAAAAATTTTCACATTCAAAAGTCACAAAACAAAATATGCGCTTAAATTTAAATAATTAAGTATTCAAATAGTGTTTTTGCAAGTTTTTGGCGTTATGTTAAGCCTTAAAGACATTCCTTTGACTTTTGGAGCAAGGTTTGTGTCCAATACCAGTGACTAGGTCTGAGGAACTCTCCCCTGGGAGGTGCCCAATAGTGGGGGTCTGGGGGCCAGGAGGGGCGGGGCCTGTGGCATTTAACCCCATTCTGCCCACCGCTGAAATCTGTTGTCGCTGGAGGGAGTGGCAAGGCTAAAAATGGTTCTTGGTTAAAAATAGCCAGGCCTGCCACCCTGGTGGGCTGGGCCTCCCTCCTTCCCTCCCAGCAATTTGCCGACTGGTTTTCTCCTCCCCCCCGCCCCCCCTCCGTGCCGCCATGGCAACGAGGAGGCCGGTCACAAATAGCTGGGTCTAGTTTCCTGCCCCTCGCAGACACATGCCCCTTTCACGGGTTCCCTCTCCACTCTCGGTTGGCCAGTGAGGATCTTTTTTTCCGCTCCCCTCCGGGTCCCTCCCATTTCCTGGCTCCTTCAGTCTGAGTGGAGCTCCCGGGCTGAGCCGGAGAGTGCTGTCGTCCAGCCGGATCCCAGCGAGCGCTAGGCGGTTGCGGGCTGCACTGTCGACGCCAGCCTACCTGGCACCCAGGGTGAGGGCAGCAGCCCAGGGGTGTTCCCTGAGGACTATTCCGGGGCCCTACAGAGATGCTCCGAGGCATGTACCTCACGCGCAACGGGAACCTGCAGAGGCGGCATACGATGAAGGAGTAGGTGCCCCGCGCCCCAGCTACAATGCCCCTACCCTGCGGTTCCAGGGGCTGAGTATGCCAGACTGACCCACCCCATCTCTGCTTCTGCCCCCAGAGCCAAGGACATGAAGAACAAGCTGGGCATCTTCAGGCGACGGAACGAGTCTCCCGGGGCCCAGCCAACGGGCAAGGCTGACAAAGTGATGAAGTCGTTCAAGTAGGTTTTCCCTGGCACCCTGGGACCCCTCGGACACTCACTGGCCTTGGGGGAGCAAGGCTGTGTGGTGGGGTTGAGTGGAAAGGGTTTTATTGGCTTGGTCCAGCTCTGGAACTTGGAGGGTCTCTTGGTTTCCCCTGCCAGCAGCAACTGTCATGGGGAGCTGGTCTCCTGGGGGGCCTGGGAGGGATTAGGCAGAGGTGCTGGGTCCAAGAAAGAGGGGTGGGCCAAGATGTTGGTACCTGGGAGCTGTCTCCCTTCTAGGCTCCCCACTGGGTTCAGCCACTAACTGGGCCAAGGGCAGCTACCAAAGAGCACCCAAACCCAGCCTCACTGGGTCCCTTCCTTTATCCTCAGGCCCACTTCAGAGGAAGCCCTTAAGTGGGGTGAGTCCTTGGAGAAGCTGCTGCTTCACAAATGTAAGTGGGGCCCACTGGCCCACCTTTCCTTTCCCCTTCCTCCCTCTCTCCTTTGTCCAGACTCCAGAAAGTGCTGACCCCTTTCCTGGGTCCAGCTTGGTGTCCTTGGCTGTTGAAGAGAAGCTGGTCTTGAGCCTAGATCCTTGGTCTGGCCTTGGACTGGCTTCTGCCAGCCCCTCCCTGTCCAAGGGAACTGGCATCGCTTGCTAGAGGCCGTTGGGACCTGTGTGCTCATACCCAGGCTCCCAGAATAACAGTAAATATTTCTATGTACTGAGTGAGGGCTTACACTGGGCAAAATGAACCTGTCATTCTGCGGGCAGGATCCCATCTAATCTCTCAGGGCTCAAGAAGAAAGGCCTGTTTTATAAATGAGGAATCCTGAGGCTTAGATTACAGACCTGCCCAGGGTCAATCTATAAAGAGGCAATGGCAGGCCTGGGACCACATCCCAGGGCTCCCAGCCCTGCTACATCTCTACCCTCAAGGCCCCCCAAGGGGTAAGCTGAGGAGTGCTGAGGGCAGGAGGGACTGGCTCTCCAGCTCACCTGGGATCTGGGTATTTTGTTACAGATGGGTTAGCCGTGTTCCAGGCCTTCCTTCGCACCGAGTTTAGTGAAGAGAACCTGGAGTTCTGGTTGGCCTGTGAGGACTTCAAGAAACTCAAGTCCCAGTCCAAGATGACAGCCAAAGCCAAGAAGATCTTTGCTGAGTACATCGCGATCCAGGCATGCAAGGAGGTAGGACCTCGGACTGGGTCCTCAGTTCCCCCAAGTCCCGTTGTCCAGTGACCCTTCAGTGGTGAGAAACTAGAATGACTCTTGGGAGGTTATGTGCCCAGGGTAGAAAGGAAACAAACTGGGGCCAGGCAAGAGCAGAATCCTGTTAAAGAATAAAAATTTCTGTAATTTAGGGACCTGGTGGCACTGTAGGATAAGCATTGGATTGGTAACTGCAAGGTTGAGAGGGAGAAAGAAGAGGCTTTGTGCTCCCGTAAAGATTTATAGCCTCAAAACCTTATATAAGTCGGAACTGACTCGATGGCAGTGAGTTTGGTTTCAGTTTTGAGATATGCCAGACAGAAGCTCCTAATAACACAGACAGTTAAGTTCTTAACTGCAAACCCAAAAGTTGTTGTTTCGAACCTACCAGATACTCCTTGGGAGAAAGATGAGGCAGCCTGCTCTTGGCAAAGTTTACAGCCTCAGAGTCAGAATTGACACGATGGCTGTGGGTTAGAGGATATGCCAGGTGTGTGCTCAGCTCTTTAATGTATATGCTGCCATACTTAATCCTCATAAGCAAATAGGTTTTAATGTTATCTTCATTTTAAAAATGAGGAGGCAGTTTTAGAGAACCTAAGCTATTGTACAAGGAGCTCTGGTAACGTAGTGGTTACGAATAAGGCTGTGAAGCACAAGGTCAGCAGTTTGAAACTACCAGCTGTTCCACGGGAGAAAGATGAGACTTTCTGCTCCTGTAAAGATTTACAGCTTTGGAAACCCTGTACAGGGTCGCTATGGGTTGGAACCAACTCGACGGCACTTAACAACAACAACAAAGCTACTGTACACTTGCTGTGTACCAAGCCCTGTGTGCAAAGTGCTTTTTCCGGGTGATCTAGTTTAATTTTCACAACCCAAGAATGCACTATAATTTTTCCTAGTCTGCAGATAAGAAATCAGGGGCTTCGAGAACTAACGGGATTTGTTTAAGATTGCACATGTCAGTATGGCACGGCTGGGATTTGAATCCAAACAGTCTGACCCTAGATGAGATGTTTTTAGGCCCTAGAGACTCTACCACCCCTGTAGTGAGTAAGCCGGGACTTGAATCTGCTGACCTGAAGGCCTCCACTCTGAACCCTAAGGTGTGGCACAGAATGGTCCATTTCCCAGCACCTGGCCCCCGGGGTCAGCCCCTCACAGACAGCCCTGACCCTGTCATTGTCTGCCCCTGCAGGTAAACCTGGACTCATACACACGGGAACACACCAAGGACAACCTGCAGAGTGTCACTCGGGGCTGTTTCGACCTGGCGCAGAAGCGCATCTTTGGGCTTATGGAAAAAGACTCATACCCTCGCTTCCTCCGCTCTGACCTCTACCTGGACCTCATTAACCAGAAGAAATTGAGTCCCCCGCTTTAGGGATCACCAGAGCAGAGCTCAGCGTTTACATCAGGCGGGCTGGGCCCCCCTTCCCACCTGTCTCCCTCCCCTACTGCGACGGAGGGGGCAAGAAGGCCCCCGGAGGCTTTATCTCCGGATGGACAGATGGATATTTGGATGCAAGGCCTGGACCAAGAGAAGCCCAGACCACTGGAGGCGTAGAAGGGCTGGCCCCACTGGGTCCCCATTGCCCCGGTACGAGGGGGCCCAACGGCTCTGGCAGGTCAGGGACCCAGCTAATCCAGATCCGGAGTTGCTGCTCCCCGCTGCGGAGACTTCGCGTTGACCAAGTTCCTTAAAGAACTGGCTGGTGGGGCAGGGGGCCCAGACCTTGGCTCTGGGGCCCTGCTGGGGGGCTTGGGGCTTGCAGCTCAGACCCCCTCCTTGTGTTTTATTTATTTAAACAGTAGTTGGATGCTTGGCACGTTGTCCTGTAATAGGAAACCTTTGCCTCATCAGTTTTCCTAATTTACAAGTGCAATATTTTAACCGCCTTGTGAAAAGCCACCCTGCAGAAAAGGCAGGCACCATTTTCCAGTTTCAGGGAATTTGCTGGTCCAGGGCAGGTAGCCGGCCCTTCTGGACTGATGAGGGCTGAAGGGGTGCTGCAGTCTGACCTCACGTGGAAACCCAGCACCCCTGGGTGGGGTGTCCCTAGGGGGCTCTGGGAAAGCATGACACCCTCAAACGACACAGCAGCCAAGTTCTAGAGCAAATAAAAAGTGTGTGTTACTTCTGGTTTTTGACCCTTTATGTGTGTTCTTAGTTTTGAGCCTTCCAGCATGACTGGGCTGGGAAGCTAGAAGTTGGGGTGTCGATCCATTTGTCCTCCCATCTTGCCATCAACTCCTCCCATCCTGGAGTGCTGTTCGTGAGGACTGCTGCTTCTGTGCCGAACACATGACTCTTTCCATTGATTCTTCACACCAAGCCTACGAGGCAGGCATTATTCCCATTTGACAGATGAGGAAAGTGAGGCACAGATAGGGGCGGTGATCTGCCTGAGACCACAAAGTCAACAAGTGGCAGAGACAGGTTGACTGGTTGAGTCTATGCTCTAGATCACTGTCCTTCACCAGCTGCCGGAGAGTCCGAGCTTGCCCACCAACTGGCTCTGTGACCTTCAAGTTCCTTCAGTGCATGACCTGCCCCACCCTGAGATTCCAATGGAACATCCATGTGGTCCTGGGACAGTTGGTGGACGCAGATGGGCCCAGAATCTCAAGCGGGGCAGCTGCAGACAGCAGCCTCCAGGGCAGAAGGGAGAGCCCAGGAGGTGACAGGACATGAGATTGCAGGGAGTCTCTCTGTGGCCCTGAAGAAGGCTTCTCCTCTGTGCCCAATGTTGTTGTTGTTATGTGCCGTGGAGTCAGTTCCGACTCATAGCGACCCTGTACAGGGTTTCTGAGGCTGTAAATCTTTACGGGAGCAGACGCCTCATCTTTCTCCCGCGGA